CACAACAGACTGCTGATTGGTCAGAGAGAATATACACTATTCACTGCATCATCATTGCGTGCACCAGACAGAGGCCAGCAACAGAAAGTTTTATATTTTACAGTTTCGTATGGAATTTCATCACTAAATCCACTTCTGAGAAGTTTTGAGGTGAGAAATCAGCTGTGCAGATTTCGAATATTGACACGGAACAAAAATGTGCTTGAATATTTTCGGAGTTGAGGAGCTCCGCAAGTGGCTGCGGGGGACGGCAGAGGAAAACACAGTTGGAAGATTTTCATACCGCTTATCTGTCTTTATACTCTGAGGAATGGTGAAACGTTTTAACTTAAAAAAAAAAAGAAAGCTGGGTGGATCGCTGGTGTGTGTCGCATTGAACATTACGTCGCGGCAGTTGTGTGTGGCGTCGCTATGACGACAAGCTATGTACTATCTCTGGGTACTATCTGCAATGGAAAACGGAGCAGGGCCGAGTAGAGTCGAGTCTATCGATGTGCGCTATGGTAGCATTTTTCAGCTAGGCAGCATAACGTTAGATCGTCACAATGTTTAGTCCTAAAAGACGATGCAACTCTGTTTGGGCCTGGAAATTAACAGTCACAACCTGTAAGTATGCTTTATTGGGCGTTGGGCGGGCCCTCGCATGTGTAGCGCGTTGGGGTGTGAGGCAGCTGCGTTGCATATTCTGGAGCTCTGCCGGTGCGGCTGTGAATTTGCTACGTGCTTCGGACGCTGCATGAAGGGGTTATATGTCACAGATAGCACAACTTTTCATCGTCAGTGCCTTTAGAAGGCAAAGCAGAAATTGGATGTCGATCCGACAGAATCTCTAGGAGGAGTTCGTTAAAGTACGGAGTGTGTAAATCATCCAAAAATTGCTGTAAAATTCAAAATGGCCGACTTCCTGTTGGGTTTAGGGCATCGCTCCAAGAGGCTTTTTGGTACGTCTGGACATGATACACATACCACAGAAAATTCGTACACGTAGGTGAAACGTGCGGCGGGGGCTGCTTCGATAAAAGTCACTTCCTGTTGCCAGCAGGTGGCGCTATGACTGTGGGGAATGTCAGCATGTACATGTGTTCAGGGCGGGACTCTCATCATACATGTACAGTTTGGTGCAGATGTGAGCATACACTGAAGTTACAACAACTTCCTGTGTCGTGGCGAAGACTTGATCTTTGACGCCACGCCACGGACACGCCCATTGACGAAAACTCGCAAATAGCACAACTTTTCATCTTCAATGCCTTTAGAAGGCACAGTACAAATTTGAAGTCGGTCGGACTAAATCCCTAGGAGGAGTTCGTTAAAGTACGGAGTGTGTAAATCATCCAAAAATGGCCGTAAAATTCAAAATGGCCGACTTCCTGTTGGGTTTAGGCTATGGCTCAAAGAGACTTTTTTGTGCGTCTGGACAAGATACACGTACCACAGAAAATTTGTGCACGTAGGTGAAACGTGCGGCGGGGGCTGCTTCGTTAAAAGTCACTTCCTGTTGCCAGCAGGAGGCGCATGTGTTCAGGGCGGGACTCTCATCCTACATGTACAGTTTGGTGCAGATGTGAGCATATACACTGAAGTTACAACAACTTCCTGTTTCATGGCGAAGAGTTGATCTTTGACGTCGATCCGACTAAATCCCTAGGAGGAGTTCGTTAAAGTACGAAGTGTGTAAATCATCCAAAAATGGCCGTAAAATTCAAAATGGCCGACTTCCTGTTGACTTTAGGGTATGGGTTCTTGAGGCTTTTTTGTGCGTCTTGATATGATACATGTCCCCAGAAAATTTCGTGCATGTAGGTTGAACCTGAACGAGGGGCTAATTTTTTCCAATTTTCTAGGTGGCGCTATTTTGCCACACCCATGCCCGAAACCCATAAAATACGAAACTTTTCACCAGTTCTGACATGTGTGCAAAGTTTGGTGAGTTTTCGAGTATGCTCAGGTCCCCAAAATTGAGCTTACTTTGCAGGAAAAAAAAAAAAAAAAAAAATCTTTACAAATTCAATAGGGACATCACACGGTTCGCGCTCGGGCCCTAATTATCTTTACAGTTTCAATAGGGACCTCGTACGGTTCGTGCCTGGGCCCTAATAATAATCCTTACAGTTTCAATAGGGACCTCGCACGGTTCGTGCTCGGGGCCTAATGAACCCCCCTAATCCGTGTGTTACGCAATTTTAGATCCCTTGGTACATTGGGGACCTATTCACGTGCGACTCACAACAAACACGAACGTCCTTCTGCTGCTAATTACAAATTATATGGCGATATCATGCCAAATATATTTACCTGCCAATGTGGTGGGTGGCCTTCCAACATTTAGCCGCCAAACGGAAAATCCACGCGCATTTGGAGGGTGGCGGGTGTGAATTTCCATCCCCCCTCGTGCAAACATATTTTTTTCCCCTCCTTAACAAATAAATTATGAAAAGACTGTTCACAATAAAGCATGTGCTCGAGTGTGTGTGTCCCGGCGATTGATGTACATCCATCAACCTATGGACGCTTATGTTAATTTCCCCTGCATCTCCAGGCAGAGGGAAGTCCTGCGCTTCTCAGTTTCCTGAGAGAAACATCTGATTTCAGAGGTATGTTAAGCAAGTCGCAGACTCTTTTCTTGTCTTTCAGAACTTTCAAAGAAAAAGCTCTCAATTCAACTCGAAATAAAGCAAAACCTTCCTGCGCTTTAATTTTGTAGTCACAATCTAAGGCAAGGCAAGTTTATTTGTATAGCACATTCAACAACAAGGTAATTCAAAGTGCTTTACATAAAACATAAAAGCAACAGGGAAATATAAAAAAGTTTAAAAGCAACATAGGGAAATTGAAAAAATACACATTAAAATATAATAAAAGTTACAGTGCAGTGTACAATCAGGGTTAAAAGACTTAAATGGAAAATAAAAACAGGCTGAGGGGTTGAGCAAATAATTGAGTTACAATTATTTTGAAAAGAGAATAAACAGAGAAGTACACTTAATCTACTCTAGCAAGAGGAAGTGATTATGTGAGTAACTGTTGCTGACATGACTAAGACCTATTTCAGCAGCAGCCTCCATCAAAAGTATTTATTTATTTAATTTGGCCTGCAGGCCGCCTATTGCTGACCACTGCTGTAGGTGAAACCAATGTGAGACACATTTTGAACAAAAAGCGCAGGGAAGTGTCACATCGACCCCTGTGAATGGGCACTGCAGTAGTTTATTCAATCCCACAAAAGGAAAAGAAAAAATTAAGACCTTTGTGAACAAAATTTAATACTTTTAAGTCCTTACTTTGAGAATATTAAATTAAATTTTTTATTACTTTTAAGACCCTGCTGGTACCCTGATATCATTTAAGCTGATCAACTTTATAGTTTTTAACCAGGATCAAACAGTGAAAAGTAAGGTGGATACAGCTGTTATTATGTGTCAGATACATATTTAATTAACATTTATGCAAATCCTAGTATCGTATCGGACATGGGATCTGTAGATACCCAATATTAAATTGACGAAATACGTGATCAGGACTCCCTAGTTGACTCATAAACAAAGAATGGAAAATTGTAAATGTCAAAACTGCAATATGTAACAACGGTTTCCTCCCATCCCTACCTCAAACGTCATGGGCTACCTCCTACCCTCCCTTCACAGGACCACCTGAATTTCAATTACTTGACTTCGGAGAAATACAGAATAACGTGATAAGAACAGATGGCCTGCAGCGGACCTTGGTGATATCTCCATTATAAACCGTATGAGGACACACAGACATACAACTTATAGTCTAGTCCCACGGCAGGCAAGAAAGGGAAAAAAGATCTAGGTCTTTTCAGTGCTTTCAAAACAGACGCTAACGCAAATGTGTGTCCACACACACACACAAAAAAAAAAACATTCAGTCACACAATTTAACAGAAGTGCACACACTGTAATACACAAGTAGTCATAGACGTGTACACAAAGTCATTCAAACACACACACAGGCCTAAACCCTCATCAAAGGCTTCTCTCTGGTCTCTATTCAGGGTCTATCGTTACTATAGCGACCAGCTAGCTGGGAGAAGCTCTTTAGAGCACCCTATCTGGACTGCTTCCCTTAAAGCGTGATCCAGGTCCCATTTCCATCTTCTTACACCATAGACTGATGCTAGCATACAAATAAAACAAAGAGAAACACTGGCTGACTGACAATTAGTTGAGCTTCCAAAGATGAGGGGCCTGCTCATTAGCACAGAGATACTGGAGGAGCCCAACTGTCTAGGCTTGGGGCCTATCACCTAAATCCTTTGGTTTTAGTTCACTCATAACCATAGAAACCACATCTTCATCCAACAACTAGCTTATCACAAGGAAGGGAGGGGCATATACACTCATTAGCTACACAGGATATCAACAGAATCCTCCAGCCACAGGGAGGTCAGTTTGGACTGGCTGCTTACTTTGTGTACTGTCAGTTGTTTTGAAATGTCACCATCTAATTATTATTTTTATGATTTTTATAAATGGAAGTAGGGGGTTATTAAAGTAGCTACTCAGCTACTACATTTACTAGTTGGGTGGATGTAAATGCAGAGCTGAAATGATCGTTCCAATTATTTTGCTAAATTTAGTGTTCAGGATTATTATCATTAATGATCTAAGCAGCTTTTAGCATCTTATTACATATCTTATATTGCCATTTCAACAACTGATAAAAATATGGGACAAAAGTCTAATCACTAGTCACTATGATGACTGCAATCACGGTCATGCTTACATTATAAACATAACTAGAATTGTTTAAGCCATGAAAAGCAAATGTCAGAAATATGTCTAGAAAATAGAGACAATAATTAAATTTCCCTAAATGAAATAATAAAATCGTGCCTTGAAGTATCAATGTCTCTAAATTGAAATATTTAGCAGCACATGGACATACTATGGGTAAAGTATTGAAAAGAAACAAACATAACTCAGCCTTCTTTCTACGTATCATACAGTTTCTGAGCAGTGGGGCTGATGTCTCACCTGTATCAGAGATGGTCTGTGTACAACTTGCATCACCTCCTCCATGGGACATCACCAACATGTTAGTCCGCCCCATACTGTGAACGAGGTTCGGTTGTGAGGGGTGAGGGCCAGGATGGGACAGCGGTGGGGGGTTAGTGTTGGGACGTCCCAGCGGCATGCCATCAGGGCCCACCGGTCCACCTCCTGGCCCCATAGGCCCACAATTACTCATTGTAGAGGCCTGCATATGGGCCATCATGTCAGGGAACTGGCCTGGACGAGAGCCCAGATGACCCCCAGAAGTGTCAATGTTCTGGCAGTGCTGCATGGCATCTCCTGGACCCCGCAGGCTCTGCTGAGCTAGGAGGTTTTGCTGAGGGCCACCAGGGACCATACCTGTGCTGTCGTTGTAGTGCAGCTGTGCAGCTCCTTGAGGACCAGGCCCTAGGCCGGGACTAAGACCTGGACGATGGCTGTTCCCAACCAGGCTATGGGAGCTCTGGCAGCTCATGGACTGGAGAAGCTGGGCCATGGAGGTGTTTGGGGGAAGGTTTCCAAGTCGGCCCACTTTTCGTAGCTGCTCAGTGGCACTGGGCCCTGGCATGTGGGGTCCTCCCATAACTCGTTTGTTAAGCATGTTGTAGACCATGTTGTTACTGTTGTCATGATTTACAACAGAGCTGCCCGACGACTGCCTCCGTTTGCGCATGGGGTCCCTCTGCTGGGCCATGAGCTTGTCTCTAAGAGCCGCCCGACCACTCTGGCCTTCAGGAGTGTTGAGCAGCATGGTGGAGTTTGGCGGGAGCATTGGGTTTAAAGTGCTGAGTCCCTCCATGCCTCGAGGGCCGCTTATAGAGCCAGGGTGCCCGCCACCTGCTCCATTGCCTCCTCCACCTGCCCCCATGCCTGCCATACCAACACCACCACCAGCCATGCCAGCAGTGCTGTTGCCAGCAGCGCTGAGTTTGTTTTGATTTGCTAGCTGTGCTTTGGCTGCGGCTGACAAGAGACTGCTGGCAGGGAAGGATGCGGCATTCTGTTGGTTAAGGATCTGGTTGAGGGGCATCCCCAGGAGTCCAGGGTGGCCCTTCTGGGAAGCGCTGGGGAGTGCCAGAGAAGAGGATGATGATGAGGAAGAAGTGGGTGAGTACATAGGGTTGCTGTGCTGCTGGGTGCCAATCGAATTTCCCATCCCTGGCAGCAGCTGGGAGTCTTTATACTGGTGGAGAGGGTCAGTTTTGTTGGTGGAGGGGCTGGAGGGCATAGCTGGCCTGGGAGATCCCATAGCTGACCTGGGAGAGCGAGGAGGGACCTTCATGGTGCCACATGGGGCCTGGTGCCCCGAGGGCATTGCAAAGTTCCCATGGTCAGAGGAGGTGGAGGATGAGCGTGAACGATGAGGGGAGGCCTCCATTCTCCCATGGGCAGGTCCAGCCATGTGGACAGGGGAAGTGACAGGAGAGGGAGACATGGAGGAAGCCGGACCACCCTGTTGAGTCCTTTGAACATGGCCGCCATGCCCCACAGGCCCAGGCTTCACTGTGGGTAAAGGTAAGTTGCTTGGCAAGGGAACAATAGCGGGAGGGGGTATGTTTACATTCATCATTGGTACCTGAGAGTGGATGTTAGGCTGGAAGTTGGAGGGGTTTGGTACGTTGGTGAGGGGCTGGCTGACTAGCTTGCTTGGGATGGGGTCCAGGATGCCTAAGGGGTCTTTTTCGGAGGTCAACTGCCTTTTTTGAAGGGCACAGGAAGGTGGTATAGATGGAGGTGGTGGTACGGGATGTACAGGGGGCTGTGTTTTATGATGAAATGTTGCACGGGGCATATCCATGCCAGGGGGGAAGTTCCCCCGCGGCATGTTCATGTTCATGACAGGGCTTTTGGCAGTGGCCGTCGGAGAAAGGGGTGTGCTAGTCCTTCCTGTCATTGCGCAGGATGGCTGGCCCGCGGGGGAACCATGGAGCATTAAACTGGGTGGGGAAAGAGGCGTCCTAGTGTTCCCATGGATGGAGGCTGAGCCAGGACTGCCAGCTCCTGGAAACCCACAAGGATTGGTCCTTGGAAAGCCCTCAGGGCTGCCTAGAGTCTCTGCACTGGGAGACTGAGAGCCATCTCCATAAAGCTTAGCACTGGAGGGTGGTGGGCTCAGCATACCTCCATACCCACCCCGGTAAGGGGATTTGGGGCCTGGCTCCCCACTGCCCAACCTCTGCGGCCTTGAGTACCCAGAGTAGAGCTCTGGCTGCTGGGCTCCTCCCATCTCCTGGGGTGGATACAGTCTCTGCTGGTGCTGTTGTCCAGCTGCCATTATCATCTTGAAAGGATTCTTGCAGTCTGGGCCAACAGCATTGGGCAGGCCATCGTGAGGTTTAGTCCTTATTGCTCGTTGAGTCGTCGAATGCACAGCAACCACAGATGATGTACCTTAAGGCCAAACAAAGCACATTTGAGTTAAATCAATACCAACACAGAAAATTTTAGGCAGGGCAGGAAAGTCATCGTTATCTACAGGCCACAGTGGCTGGCAAACCATAAAAATGACAAACTACTGTAGTTAATATCAGTACATAAACTGCTTGATCTCTAAAGCAGAAGTCTAAACAATAAGAAAAAAAAGTAACCACAAAACAATAAAAAATTTTATTTTTGTATAATTTCTGAAAACAAAGGCTCGAAAACCCCAAATCACTTGCTACATTGATTCTGTGTGTTGTCAATTAGAATAGTCTAATCAACATTAAAGAGATTTCCTACTAAACTGGCTGGTAATGTGGACTAAATTAACACCAATATTTCACCAACCTTTCACTGGTTGCTGGTGTTTCTGAATTACTGCGTCGAAGCACAAACCGGCTTACCTCTGGATATTATGTTATGTGTCTGAAGGCTGCAGTCAAACTGAAACATTGATTTTCAAGTTCAAATAAGTTTGAACAACTGGATTTTGTACTCGTACCCCCCCCTGGACTGGTCAGCGTCAGAGGTGGGTGTGTCTCCATGCTCTTGTGCAGCGTGGCCACAGCGAGAAGTTTCCTCTTGTGAATGCAGAGTTTGGTGACATCTTCATCTGCTTTCACATCCTCTGCCGTCCTCTGTTTGACAGCTGCCCCAGGGTCGAAATTGAACACCTGAGGAAAAAGATTTGAACAGATAAATACATTAAAATAATTTTATGTTTTTTTTACTTTTGCTCAAAAGGGTGATGCCCCTACAAGTCATGAGAGAATGTTTTGGGTTTGGGGGAGGGTGCGGGTAACATCTGCTTTATTAAAACATTAATAGAGCAGAGATGTCAACATTTCCCAGATATCAGCTTCATATTGGCCTGATCCGACAGACACAGTGGGTTATGGCCAAATTTTGCTTCAAGAAGGATAATCGGTCAGATTACCCATGTAATGTGACAGTAACAGTGGACACCTCCCAGCACCCCGACATTTGTTTGGTCTGTCACAGAGTTGAGCAGAAGAGGTCAGCAATTTATTTCTTACATGATGAGCATATGGAATAGTGTGTAGAGTGGAGAAGTGGATTATGCTGCAGGAGTGGTTTGAGAGCTTTCTCTGGACATTTTTATCCTTTTTCCGACCGTGAAAACTCGTCACAATTGGAATTCACTGTCACTCACATTCATTCAAGCTGACCAGAGCCACCGTGTTCCGTAAAGGACAAAACTACAATGTTTTTACAGCCACCTTTTAAGCTGACGAGTGACTTTTTGACACTCAAAAGACCATTTCAACAAAACAACAAAACACTCATACACAATAGCCTGTCAGAAGTTGTTTTCACCTTGGTTTGACTAGTGTGACACTATTTCCTCCGCACAGACATGTTTACTCCTCATTCCTCCCTCTTTACCTTTCTCTCCTTCCTAGCTGTGGTAACGCATGTCAAATAAGTAATGTGTCCTATCTCGAGGCCAAGACACATCAAGAGCTGATTGTCTGCTCTGCATTAAAATATCATATAATCTGAAGGGACATTTAGCTAATACACATTCTCAGTGACTTATAGCCAGTTCAGGAAAAGTTCCTGATCCCCGTCATCAATCAACATCTACTCGTGACGCAAGTCAGTTTTTACAAGCAATTACCAAATGGAACAAACTTCTAAATGTCATTACATTCTTGTAAAAGAAATTAAATGAACAATTAAAATGAACAAACCTCAAAATCATATGAGGCTTTTGGAATATTAAATCAAATGTTTTCCCATTCATGTACACTTAGCACTTAAATGGAACAATTAATCAAATGTATGGCATAGATTGATGTTTACAATAACAGGGTATACAGGAATCCTGAAGTAAAATTCAATACCTTTTAAGACCTTTTTCAAGACCTTTTCAACATATTTTAAGAGCCACTTTGATCTGTAACCGGTGACACCTTGAAAAGTGTTGTGTGTAAAAAGAACATCCTGGCACACCGGCATCCTGACTCTGGCTAAATCTACATCTATCCACAACCTGGAGGAGGAACTTGTATAAATGACTTTATTAGTATGATATTATAACATTATGTTAAAAGTATAATAGTAAATTGTTGATACAGATGTTATTTATATGATGTTACTATATTCATTATAATTTCATATAATAGTAGTCTACAGTATATAGCATATCACTATTATAATACTAATTCCAGTTACCGTTTCATTTTGGCCTTGTTTTTATTCATTAACTTTGTGAAAGAAAAATGCTCTACATGCTAGTTAGTCTCTTTAATTTTAAGCAGGCTACAAACTCTTCAATAATCATAACAATTTATACAGAACGATTGGTTAAGTTGAGCTGTAGCACATCAAACTTTTTTTTAATGTCCCGCTCCATTCAGGCTGTGATTGATCTGTTCCCAAAAAGTGACACTGACGAGCACATCGGCTTTATGAAAAGTTGAACGTGTTTCAATAAAAGGCACCGATTCAGCTAAATAGCCAGCTAACGTTATCCAAACCCAAACGTTGCTTATATTTTCCCTGTTTTTTTCTGTCTTACCGATTCAGCTGCTGGTGGTGCATCTCATTCGTTTGAGTAATGGGGTTGTTCGAGGGGCCACGGAGCTCAGTCCGACTATGTTTTGAACGGCCCAGGGGGGGTCCGGCATGGTGGAAGATTATGGTCAGTTTGCACGGATCTATTCTTAGGGGCGAATGACAGTGAAATGCTCGCACTGTAGACCCCTGCGCCTAATGTTACAGAGCAGAATCACACAGTCGCAACGCGGTGCCCATCTAGTAATTTTGGCTTTGCTACATCAATAAATACATTCACCCACACTTTTAGCACACAATATTGTTTTTTTTCTAAACAGTATTTTCACATTAGTAATGGGATTAATTTTCACATAATTAAGCCCATTTATTACCCTTTAAGACTTTAAGACCCCACGGACTCTCTGAATAACATGATAGAGTGGTCAAAACCCCAGCACAACAAAGCACGCAATGTCTTCACTGACTTCTACTTCTCCTCCGAGCTGAGTAACTATGAGTATGTACTTAAGAAACAAAAAGTATTCAGTGGTACACTTCATTTCATCCTATGTCTCCAAACAGCAGGGACGGGATCAGACACGTGATTCCCCAAACAAAACCAAAATCCTCTTTGATGTCAACTGCTATTGCATGACATTTAGTTTACAACGGTTCCTTTTACTACCTTTTTCTTACCCAATGAAAAAAACTTTTTATAAAAGGAAGAACATTCTCGTACAGAAATGCCACCTGCTAAAGCAAGTTTAGGATTGATTGACAGTTTTTAATCCCTTTGTTTAGCTGTACTTTTTTTGGGCAACAGTATTTAAATTTAATTTGCAGACTGGGACTTCCATCTTAATCTTTAATTAAAATGTCTTCTGGAGCCCAGTTTAAAGGCAGCTGTAAAATCTCCACCGACTGCTTTGTTTTAAATGAATCAGTACAAAAACATTACCTTGTGGAGAATGAGTGGGCACTCCAGGCCACATTTGCAGGTTCCATCTGTCAGCAGGTAGGTCTTCACCTGCTCCAAGCTGGACAGCATCGAGCCACTGGGACTGCACACAGAAAACAACAATGTAAGCTCCATAGCACAAATACTCCTTTTATGATATCATGTGTTGCAGCACTCATTTGCATTGTTTGAAATGGGTTTTTGAATATCATTTCATATTTGTGGACTGAAACTTCTAAAAGCAAAAGATATTTTGCATTTAACTGAATATTTTTATGAGGAAATCTTACAAAGGCTTTAGTTCCTCCACCACAAATTTATTCCCGACTCAGAAGACAAGAAAACATCTTTTACCTAGTTTTTATATTTATTTTATTTATGTCATCAGTGCAGTGTCACATCTGTCTTCGCAACATGCGTCAGATCTCTCCGCCGTGCCGTGGCTGCCTGAAACTACACTGTAAATTCCACTAACCACAAGAAAACAAAAAGGAGAAAAGAGCACGAGTGTTACTTTGTGGCTATAACAATGCTGTTGACACAATGTACAGATAACCTGTTACCCCTGCTGGAGCAAGAGAACTATACAACGATCAGTAGGCCTATATGTTTAATTTGGCTATAATCAAATCTCATGTTAGGTCTAATTTTCAGGACAAACCGGAAAGGGGTCGGGATAACTGCTCGTAATTCGGGACTGTCCAGGATTTTTTGGGACGTCTGGTCACCTATATATAGTGGTGTTGTTAAGGATTTAATTAGGGCCCGTGTGAGGTCCCTATTGAAATTGTAAAGATTTTTAGGGCCCCAGCACGAACCGTGCGAGGTCCCTGTTGAAATAGTAAGGATTATTAGGGCCCAAGCACGAACCGTGCGAGATCCCTACTGAATTTGTAAAGATTATTAGGGCCCGAGCATGACCGTGCGAGGTCCCTATTGAATTTGTAAAGATTATATTTTTTTTTTTTTTAGGGCCCGAGCACGAACCGTGCGAGGTCCCTGTTGAAACTGTAAAGATTATTATTATTAGGGCTCCAGCACGAACCGTGCGAGGTCCCTGTTGAAATAGTAAGGATTATTAGGGCCCGAGCACGAACCGTGTGAGATCCCTATTGAATTTGTAAAGATTATTAGGGCCCGAGCACGACCGTGCGAGGTCCCTATTGAATTTGTAAAGATTATACAGTGAGGAAAATAAGTATTTGAACACCCTGCTATTTTGCAAGTTCTCCCACTTAGAAATCATGGAGGGGTCTGAAATTGTCATTGTAATTGCATGTCCACTTTGAGAGACATAATCTAAAAAAAATAATCCAGAAATCACAATGCATGATTTTTTAACTATTTATTTGTATGATACAGCTGCAAATAAGTATTTGAACACCTGTCTATCAGCTAGAATTCTGACTCTCAAAGACCTGTTAGTCTGCCTTCAAAATGTCCACCTCCACTCCATTTATTATCCTAAATTAGATGCACCTGTTTGAGGTCGTTAGCTGCATAAAGACAACTGTCCACCCCATACAATCAGTAAGAATCCAACTACTAACATGGCCAAGACCAAAGAGCTGTCCAAAGACACTAGAGACAAAATTGTACACCTCCACAAGGCTGGAAAGGGCTACAGGGAAATTGCCAAGCAGCTTGGTGAAAAAAGGTCCACTGTTGGAGCAATCATTAGAAAATGGAAGAAGCTAAACATGACTGTCAATCTCCCTCGAACTGGGGCTTCATGCAAGATCTCACCTTGTGGGGTCTCAATGATCCTAAGAAAGGTGAGAAATCAGCCCAGAAGTACACGGGAGGAGCTGGTTAATGACCTGAAAAGAGCTGGGACCAAGGTTTCCAAGGTTACTGTTGGTAATACACTAAGACGTCATGGTTTGAAATCATGCATGGCACGGAAGGTTCCCCTGCTTAAACCAGCACATGTCAAGGCCCGTCTTAAGTTTGCCAGTGACCGTTTGGATGATCCAGAGGAGTCATGGGAGAAAGTCATGTGGTCAGATGAGACCAAAATAGAACTTTTTGGTCATAATTCCACTAACCGTGTTTGGAGGAAGAAGAATGATGAGTACCATCCCAAGAACACCATCTCTACTGTGAAGCATGGGGGTGGTAGCATCATGTTTGGGGGTGTTTTTCTGCACATGGGACAGGGCAACTGCACTGTATTAAGGAGAGGATGACCGGGGCCATGTATTGCGAGATTTTGGGGAACAACCTCCTTCCCTCAGTTAGAGCATTGAAGATGGGTCGAGGCCGGGTCTTCCAACATGACAATGACCCGAAGCACACAGCCAGGATAACCAAGGAGTGGCTCTGTAAGAAGCATATCAAGGTTCTGGCGTGGCCTAGCCAGTCTCCAGACCTAAACCCAATAGAGAATCTTTGGAGGGAGCTCAAACTCCGTGTTTCTCAGCGACAGCCCAGAAACCTGACTGATCTAGAGAAGATCTGTGTGGAGGAGTGGGCCAAAATCCCTCCTGCAGTGTGTGCAAACCTGGTGAAAAACGTTTGACCTCTGTAATTGCAAACAAAGGCTACTGTACCAAATATTAACATTGATTTTCTCAGGTGTTCAAATACTTATTTGCAGCTGTATCATACAAATAGTTAAAAAATCATACATTGTGATTTCTGGATTTTTTTTTTAGATTATGTCTCTCACAGTGGACATGCACCTACGATGACAATTTCAGACCCCTCCATGATTTCTAAGTGGGAGAACTTGCAAAATAGCAGGGTGTTCAAATACTTATTTTCCTCACTGTATATATTTTTTTTTAGGGCCCGAGCACGACCGTGCGAGGTCCCTATTGAATCTGTAAAGATTATATTTAGGGCCCGAGAACGACCGTGCGAGGTCCCTATTGAATTTGTAAAGATTATTAGGGCCCGAGCACGACCGTGCGAGGTCCCTATTGAATTTGTAAAGATTATATTTAGGGCCCGAGCACGACCGTGTGAGATCCCTATTGAATTTGATAAGATTATTAGGGCCCGAGCACGACCGTGTGAGATCCCTATTGAATTTGCTAAGATTTTTTTTTTTTTTTTTTCTTCTGCAAAGTAGGCTCCATTAACAGGACCCATACCCTAAACCCAACAGGAAGTCGGCCATTTTGAATTTTACGGCCATTTTTGGATGATTTACACACTCCGTACTTTAACGAACTCCTCCTAGGGATTTAGTCGGATCGACGTCAAATTTCTGCTGTGCCTTCTAAAGGCATTGACGATAAAAAGTTGTGCTATTTGCGAGTTTTCGTCAATGGGCGTGTCCGTGGCGTCAAAGATCAACTCTTCGCCATGAAACAGGAAGTTGTTGTAACTTCAGTGTATATGCTCACATCTGCACCAAACTGTACCTGTAGGATGAGAGTCCCACCCTGAACACATGTACATGCTGACATTCACCCACAGTCATAGCGCCACCTGCTGGCAACAGGAAGTGACATTTAACGAAGCAGCCCCCGCCGCACGTTTCACCTACGTGCACAAATTTTCTGTGGTACGTGTATCTTGTCCAGACGCACAAAAAAGCCTCTTGGAGTGATGCCCTAAAATCAACAGGAAGTCGGCCATTTTGAATTTTATGTCAAATTTTGGATGATTTACACACTCCGTACACTCACGTACTTTAACGAACTCCTCCTAGGGATTTAGTCCGACCGACCTCAAATTTCTGAAGGCATTGAAGATGAAAAGTTGTGCTATCTGTGAGTTTTCGTCAATGGGCGTGTCCGTGGCGTGGCGTCAAAGATCAACTCTTCGCCACGACACAGGAAGTTGTTGTAACTTCAGTGTACATGCTCACATCTGCACCAAACGTTACGTGCTTGATAACTGTCCTGGCCTGAACATATCTACACACCAATATTGATTTATATTCATAGCGCCAAGTGCTATGTAGCTCCACATAGGGGACACAGGAAGTGACACCTTCATGCGGCGTCGGAACCGCGTAGCAAATTCACAGCCGCACCAACAGAGCTCCAGAATTTGCAACGCGGCCGGCTCACACCCGGATGCGCTACAAGTGCAAGGGCCCGCCCAACGCTGCTTGCAGCTTTAATTTTAATTTTTATATATATATATCTATATATATAGATATATATATATCTATATATATATCTATATATCTATATATATATCTATATATATAGATATATATCTATATATATATAGATATCTATATATCTATATATATATCTATATATCTATAGATATATCTATATATATAGATATCTATATATCTATATATATATCTATATATATAGATATATATATATATCTATATATATATATATCTATATCTATATATATATATATCTATATCTATATATATCTATATATATATATATATATATCTATATATCTATATATATATATATATATATATATATATATCTATATCTATATATCTATATATATATATCTATATATATATATATATATATATATATATATATATATATATATATATATATATATATATATTTTTTTTATTTTTTATTTTTTTTTCTCTGCAAAGTAAGCTCCATTTTGGGGACCTGAGCATACTCGAAAACTCACCAAACTTTGCACACATATTTTATGGGTTTCGCGCATGGACGTGGCAAAATGACTCGCTAGCGCAACCTAGAAAATTGGAAAAAATTAGCCCCTCGTTCACATTCAACCTACATGTACGAAATTTTCAGGGGACATGTGTGTGTGTATATATATATATATATCTCTCAAGACGCACAAAAAAGCCTCACGAACCCATACCCTAAACTCAACAGGAAGTCGGCCATTTTGAATTTTTACGGCCATTTTTGGATGATTTACACACTTCTCCTAGGGATTTAGTCGGATCGACGTCAAATTTCTGCTGTGCCTTCTAAAGGCATTGACGATGAAAAGTTGTGCTATTTGCGAGTTTTCGTCAATGGGCGTGTCTGTGGCGTCGATGATTCGCCATGAAACAGGAAGTTGTTGTAACTTCAGTGTACATGCTCACATCTGGACCAAAGTGTACATGTAGGATGAGAGTCCTGCCCTGAACACATGTACATGCCGAGATTCACCCACAGTCATAGCGCCACCTGCTGGCAACAGCAAGTGACCTTTAACGAAGCAGCCCCCGCCGCACGTTTCACCTCCTAGGGATTTAGTCGGATCGACGTCAAATTTCTGCTGTGCCTTCTAAAGGCATTGACGATGAAAAGTTGTGCTATTTGTGAGTTTTCGTCAATGGGCGTGTCCATGGCGTCGATGATTCGCCATGACACAGGAAGTTATTATAACTTCAGTGTACATGCTCACATCAGGACAGGAAGTGACCTTTAACGAAGCAGCCCCCGCCGCACGTTTGACCTACATGTATGAAATTTCTGTGGCACATGGATCATGTCCAGACGTACCAAAAAGCCTCTTGGAGCGATGCCCTGAAGTCGGCCGTGGCGTCAAAGATCAGCTCTTCACCATGACACAGGAAGTTGTTGTAACTTCAGTGTACATGCTCACATCTAAACAAATCTTTACATACTTGATAACTGTCCCAACCCGAAGACATCCACACGCCAATAGTCATTTATATTCATAGCGCCAAGTGCTATGCAGCGCCACAAAGGGGATACAGGAAGTGACGTGTAACACCTTTTTGGGGGCTGATGCCGAAATTATAGTGAGAAAGAGACGATTTTTGAGCCGATATTTTGATTTTAAGAATGATTTGGATAGTAGACCCCTTTACTGTATAAACTACACTTACAGGCCAATATTGAAAGCTGGTATGTGTGTAGGTTATAAAACCTTTTCCTAAAGGGATTATGTTAATAAAATGGATTACAGTCTCAAAAAGTGAACATGTTAACAATTGCACATCAATAAATATTTGCTACCGGAAGGTGCAAATTTTTCAGCCATCTGTAAACAGAGAGAGTGAGAGATAATAAGCATGTGCATTTCACTTTACACTTTGCCATAATTTCAATGTAGCACATTCACATCTAGTTCATCCCTTTACCGGCACTCTTTAATTCTAACCAAAGCTACGTGAAACCATTTAACCACCATCAGTATATATCATCCTGTCTAGGATACAGTGAGCTGCTGTTGAATGCATCTAATACTTCAGGAATGTCTACAACGAGGACCTGCAACTTTGAGATTTCATTGAACTAATGTTATAACTACAACCAGAGCCGTTACGGCTCTGACTACAGCGTTTCACATCTACAACGTCACACAAAGAGGAGCTACAGGAGGCCGTGTTAGATTCTTGTTCAGCTCCCGTTTATTTACGTGTCCACTCTCGTTTAATCATTTCCGACACGCCGACTAACTACAGGGTCACAGATATATTTAGAATACGGCAGAAACTATAGTTTAATGGCTCATTAATGTTAGCGCTCCTCCACTGATAAACACGGCATTAGCTTTGTGGCTAATTTAGCAACAGGCAGCAGTAGCTGCTGTAGCGTTTCGTCATTTTAGAGAATATTTAGAAGTCATGAACTAGGGACAAATGTGGACCGTTCGCTAGAACTGCCACACTGAAATAAATGTACAGTTACGTCTGTCAGCAGCTTAGTTTTCAACACCATACTACTGTAACATGAAACTGGTGTGAGCTGGTAGGAAGCCGGGAGATGGAAGTGAAAAACGTGAGGGTTAGCAAGTCATGAATGTTTTCAGGAGAGGAGAAGTGACTGGGTCTGTTTTTATTATAATTATTCAAGTCATGTAATTAACTTGACAAAAGACTGACTCACTGCTCACACAGGCAGTGTGAGGCAGTGTAGTTAACAGGGGAGCTGCAGCTGGTCGCCCTCTGGTGGGCAAACCATGCAACACCCATGACATGAGTGAAGGATCTGACTCTAGGTTTCTTTTTTAATAGTCATATATCTGCTGTTATAAACGGCTGATGCCGATTAAATGCAATTAGCTCATATCGGCCGGACAATATATCAGTTGGGTTCTAGTAAACATTATGTATTTTATCAGGAGGTCACAGCTGCAGTAAAGCAGCAGAAATGAGAGGCAGACACCGACTGCCAGTCTATGTAGGGATCTAACTCATTAGTGAAAATGCCAGTTGCATTCAAATTTTATGAAAAACCTGATGTTTACCACTAATATATTACATAAATGACTCAAGTTCTACAATTTAACTCCATCTACCTTTGGCCACATAATTGTTCAACTCATAAATACATGAGTTCAATGATTGTTGCAAAAATGTGCAACAATCTCTGGTTCCAGCTTCTCAGGTGGGACAGTTTGCTTTTAAATGTAATGTGTATGACGATATCAAGATACAGTCTTTCCAAATTGTTTGTCAAATGTAAACATTTTGTCTAATTTCTGAACTTTCTTGGTCAAAACAACTACAACATCCCTAGATGCCCAAAACTGATCAAAATAGTTGATTAATAGAAAATGCACCTGCAACAATTTTGATAACTGATGAGTCCTTTGAGTCATTTATAGCTTTCACTGCTCCAGTTTCTCAAATATTCGGATTTGCTTCTTGTTTCTGTTTTATGTTGCGACAAGTGAGTCATTTGAAGTCATTAAAGGTTCAGTAGGTAACTTTTGGCATATTTTCCAAAACTTGAAACTATCACTATATGCTGACAGTATTAAATGAGACAGATTATATGTTGGGGAAATAAATCAGGTTCCATGCCTGAACAAAAACATCCAGGAGGAGTCTAACGCTGAGTCAATCACTTCTCGTGCACACGCTGTGCAGCCCCCCTCTCACGGTTAAGCTCACAGCGAGAGGGACAGGGGTATTGGCGAGGCTCTCACCGTGGAGAGCGCGCCCTACACAGGATGATGTTTTGTAGGGCAACCAAGCAGGAAGCTTTCGGTCTGAGAAGCGAAGACGGAAGTCCCTTAAACCCGCATTCTATCCAACGGCCAGCAGGGTGCGACTGCTCTGGTTGCATAAAGAAGTCCGGCTCCATTAGAAATAATGGCAAAATGACCCTACTTCATCTGATTTATTACCCAAGTAAACACTTTCATAATGAGTTTAAATTATGGTCCCATTTAGACGAAAATAGACCAAAGCAGAGTATGCTTCAGGATGGGATCTGTGATTGACAAGTCGTTACCATGGCAACCAGTCAATGAGGCTAGAGTGACTCATACCCCCGGCACTGTGTAAATTTAACCAGCGCCATTGAAAAAGTTAATTAAGGAGTTGGCTGCTCATTTTCTCTGGTGAGTAGGTTTTGTTTTAAGCCTGTTTTCACTACACAAAATTTCATCCTGGTTACATCACAGTTAGCGTAAATTACAGATGAACCTAGCTAAGCAAGCTAGCTAGCTCCACACGGAGGCGTTGGCTCCACCGTCTCTTACAAATATGGTCACGTCCGGTGCCACTGGATGCAAAAAAATCAACATGGCGGCACCTTAACGCCCAAACTCAAGGCTTCAAGACGGCAGTCCACAAACCAACGGGTGACGTCTATGAGGGCAACCAGCTCCTTATTGTGCCGTATGAATTTTTTGTTTGTTTGTTTTGCATTGCATCTGCATTGTGTGAATATTGAAAACATTTATCTTGAATTTTAAATTTAAATTCAATGAGCTTTATTGGCAGTGCCAGAACAAGGATTAACTTAAGATAACTAAAGAATCATTTAATCATTTTCAAATCATTTTTCAAGCAGAAATGCCAAAAAGTCTAATTCCAGCTTCTTCAATGTGACAATTTGCTGCTTTTTTGCATTATATGATAAGTAAGGTCATTTTAATCTCTCTTGAGAATTCTTATCAACTTTTTCACACACTTTTCTGATGTTTGTAGATCAAACAATCAAGAAAATAATGAGCAGATGAATCAAAAATTATTGTTAGTTGCAATCATACAAAACATGGTCACAGTATAAATGCATAACAAGTAACTTGCTCAATGGAAGCTCAAAGGTAGTTATTTAGGGAATTGAATTTTTATTACCTTTTGTATACAACCCCACCACCGTGCTCCGCCTTGCGCTGCCAGCCAATAGGGACCTGGACAGGAACAGCCTGCCTCTCATCTCCCGCCTCACAGTCCTTTCCGCCATTCATTGCTCCACTGGTTTTACGCTCGACACCTCAGGAGGTATATATATCAGACATCAACCAGTGTCTTTGCAATGCACGTCATGTTTGTCTTCCAAAGCCGTGGTGGAGGTGGTGGTGATGGGAGGGTTCGGAGACAGTTGACCTTATGCTTCAACGTAGGCTCTCAGGTGGAGCTGATGGGTGGGTAGTCGGGTAGGGTGAGGTGACCTCACAGAAGACCCTACCCTTTGAGCTGCTTCATGGTTACAGTGCTGAATGGTGCGTGGACTTCCATTACTGCATCTTGTCATTCATAGCCATCTGACTCAGGAACATGCTAGCTGAAAAAGGAGGCTCTGGAGTCGGCGTGTGCTGTGCCGGAAAGTCTTCTATTATTAATTTATTACCATTTGTCCTTTCCCACCCAGAATACCGTCCCTCAGTCTGACAAATAAAGAATGTTCAACATATTGGTTCCCAAACACAGTTGGGTAGTGGTTTTCCCATGGTTCCTGTGAGGGCAGAAGAGAAGAGGAATGCACATGAGTTAATGGTCAGTACAATCCATTTTCTTTGCATTAGTTAAATCACACAATTTAACCTGCTCAGGGAATGTAGGCTCCCTTCTATTTTTCACTAGTGATAAAGTCGGCCGATTCTGGCATTTTGAGATAATAGGCATTGGCTGATACCTGCACTCACGAGGCCGATATATCATCCTAAATGACAGCAGCTCTAATCTATAACACCATTTCTGACTAGCGTTAAATATATACTGTTATACTGTAGAGAATAATGCAGTTGAATGACGTCACTTCTGACAAACTATACCCCATTTTCCCTTCAACACCAGTCACGCTCTGAAATCTACAGCAATGTAGGTTTCATATACATTTCATTAATTAATAAAACTTCCATCTCAAACAAAAAATTACGTATTTTCAGGGTCTCGCACATGGGCGTGGCAAAATGGCTCTATAGCACCACCTGCAAAGTTGGAAAAATTAGCCCCCGCACCTACTTCAACCTACATGCATGAAATTTTCTGGGGACATGTATCATATCAACACACACAAAAAAGACTCAATAACCCATAACCTAAACTCAACAGGAAGTCAGCCATTTTTAATTAAAAGTGCAATTTTAACCTCTTTTTCAAGGTTTACAGGGTGCGTACTTTAACGAACTCATCCTAGGGAATTAATCGGATCGACTTCAATTTTCTACTGTGCATTCCAAAGGCATTGACGATGAAAAGTTGTGCTACCTGTGAGTTTTCGTCGATGGGTGTGTCCGTGGCGTAGCGTCAAACATCAACTCTTCGCCATGACACAGGAAGTTGTTGTAACTTCAGTGTATATGCTCACATCTGCACAAAACTTTACGTGTTTGATAATTGTCCCGCCCCGAACACATCTACACGCCAATATTCATTTATAATCATAGCACCAAGTGCTATGTAGCGCCACAAATGGGACGCAGGAAGTGTCATATAACACCTTCATGCAGTGTCCAAAGCGTGTAGAAAATTCACAGCGCACCGGCAGTGCAAAATTGAAGCACTGCTACTACCGCAATGTTCATACTTTACACTTCAGTTCGTGTTAAATTAATAAATTAGTGCTTCGAAACTTCCACAAGCTTAACGAGCTCTGTAACAGTTTAAGGACGGATCGCCATGGGCTGTACGTGGCCCGACTTAAAACTTAAAAGCTGTAAGTGTTACTGTGTTTTGTGTTGTTTTACTGTTTATTTTGAAGCAAACTTGGCATTAGCATATTGCACGGCTAATGTGGCTAGCAGGCTCGGCGATGTTGGACTAACGTTGTGATACTGAGGGACAGTCAAGAGAAACTGTGAACAGTAATCCTCACTAAATAACGAGCATAGTGTGTCGGATGCCTGCAGCTGTTTCGCATGTTGCTTTCTGTGGAAATTTAGTTATACCCTTACTACAGCGCAGGTGTTTGTTGTGGATAGGGATAGATGATGCCATCGTCCATCAGCGATGGCTGACAGACATCACGACGTCAAGCCGGCATTGTGATTGTAAACCCCCCGCTCCCCCAGCAAAACAATCTCAAATGTTCACATTATACCACCCTGTGAAAGCAGGTTTTAATGACCACGGACATTCTTATTATTGTTTTTAAGTATCCTTTTCACTTGCCTCGGAATTCTCTTCTCCCCACCCACACACCTCAGGTAAACACCCCGGCTTGTCCCCGTCTGCTCCATTTTCTCCATCAGCTGTATGTTTTATAAAGTCAGTATAAAGTATTTTTCCCGTATATTTCCACCCGCGATCCGTTATCACGGCAGCAGGTGAACCGCACGTCGGCTTATTAATGACGAAGTCTATCAAACAGCTGAAACCAACATCTGCACTGTGTGTTCACCGTTGCTTTACCTGGTCCATGCGTAAAATATCCACTGCGACTTGTAACGTAAAGTTAATAGTCTTCCCATTTTTTTTAAGGGTGAAGTCTGTGCGAGAACACATGCACATAAGACGACTGCTGCCCCCCACGCGCGTGTGCCCAGTGACATCGTCCATCCCGATGTTTCATGGTGGACATCGTCCGATGGAAATTTTGTAGACGTCACCCAACACTAAGAGAGATGCAACGATTACAGATTTTGTTGGTATGATTATAGTCTGAGGAATAATCACGGTTTCACGATTATCACGATTATTATGGATTAATTAATTTAACAACACTAGTAATGACTTAAGTTGATTTTTAATATTTAATTACGTTAGAAGGCAACAGGATGTAATGTTAAATGCCCAGTGACTGAAGGTCTTCAGAGGAGTACATTCTTCCATAAAGGCACTTTCAGAAAAGAAGTGATTTGGAAGCTGGTTTGGAAGTTCGTCAAGCAATGCGATGCTCGTTGCTCGACGCAGAAACAAACCGCCGTGGCGTGGCACAAGCCATTGAAAATAATGGGTCTCATAGCGCAGTGGTGCTGTTGTTGCAGGTCTGAAAGGTTACACCTGCTTTGTTTGTTTACATTGCACTGAAAGCTTGACTCTCCGCTATGGCATCAATTGTAAGTGACACATTTATATTTAATTCCCTACCAACTTGTCATGTTATTTAACTCAGTTATTATGTATTACCTTTATTTGGGCGTGCAATGCTGGGTGGTGATCCCGCAGGTGCTGCATCAAATTTGATGCAAGTATTCGCTCCTTTAGCAGCAACCTTTTAATGACAACTTTTTGAACAGGTGATCAGTCACCTCTTAAATAACGCCCTAGTCAGTCTTGGTGCACCCGAAATGCTCCCACACAGCTTCACACTTTGGTCCCTCTGCCAGAGTTTAGCCAGTGTACAGAAGTAACCTCCATGTCTCTGACACTTAAAACTGGCTTGTGTGTGTGCGTTGCTGCAGTATGTAAATGACATGCCCTGAAGTAACTATACAGCTAATTTAGACACGGTCAAACTACAGAAATGAATTTGCTTTGCAATGTTGTGTAACTTTGACTAGCACCCAGCAGCTACCTTGCTCCGACCATAAAGCTGCTGTTAGCGGCTCGCTGTGCAGTGAGGTGAGATCCACAGGCAAATTTACTACGCTAAATGGCACCAAATTACTTCATTGACTAAAAATGGCAAACATCCTGCATAGTATGCTGTTGAGCCCCAACAAATTACAGCGGGGGAAATTACTTCACCGCCACAGCCCTATTGCCTAGGGGCGTGCATCTTCACTGGTCTCACGATTCCATCAGGTCAACGATTCGATTTCCCGATGCTAGGGCTGAACGATTAATTGTATTTGCGATATTATTGCGATATGATAAAACTAAATTTTCTAATCGCAAAGGCTGTGATTACGTTCTGGTCACGTGACACACAAGAGTAAACACCAGTCTGCAGAGGAAGCATCAACTTCAACGCTGTACCTTGACTTGTTGTTGTATAATGGCCTTAAGCTTGACAGAAGCTGACACTACAGAAATTTAGTGTTACACAGGGAATGAAAGTAGCACCCGCCACCCGCGGGTAAATTTGCGGTGTTGTGGGTGAAATCGACAGGCCATCCACGCTTTGGTGGACAGGAAAAATGTACAACAGTAAGACATGTGAAGTAAGGTAATTGAATGTATATGTATGGACTCCGGTGTTGACGGAGAATTACTAAGCTTGTCTATTAAACACGGAAGGCGTAACTTGGTTTTGTTTTTGTTGGACAACTTTTGAATTGAACCTCGAACTGAGTATTTTTTTAGGTTTTTGATGAGAGATGGACTCCTAGGAAATTTGAACTGAGATAAGGACTCGTTAATTGGTGGTTGAAGTGTGGGTTTTGTATCGAGTGCTTACTACATAATGCAGTTCACACTGGTGAACTTAGTTTTTCTTGTCTGTAAGTAGGCTGACCTGCTGATGTTACATCATACATTATTTAATGACCTGACTCTCAAATTATCTTTCTCATATTATTATAATTTGATATTTCTTCTCCACCATTGGTCATAATGATAATTCGTGCAATTAATGCATCACCTAATTTCATCACAACACAGGCCTGGCCTAAAAGAAAGAACAGTGTAATCTATCTAATATTGCGTTGGTCATACTATACACTGATTTATTGCTCGTCAGTTCTGAGTAATACAGAAGGTAAAGAGCTTAAAAATTCATCGCATATTAAAAAATGATCATTTTCCAAAATTGTTCAGCCCTACTCGATGTATCACCTCAAGGGTAGGAATTTCTAGGCACCTCATTATGATTATGAGGGCTACGATGCGATTGTAAAACTAATTTTTCTCACTGTGTGACTGGTATTTTTAAAGCAAAGTATTTGTAACAATACAAACAAGTAGGTACTAATGAAATGCAGATATTTAATTTTAATATATATGTAGCTAACATTATTACAGCATTATTACTGTACTCTGCTGCTGCTATTTTTATTTCTGATGCTACGGTTAGTATAGAGTCAGATGGGGGTTGAACTAAGCACTTTACAATGCTCCAGATACTTTACTATTATTTAGTGATGGTTATTTGGTAAGACCAGACCCAACGGGCATGAGGTAGGCCTACGCGGTGAGGTAAATATGCGATAACGTTATTGAGATGACATATCACTAGCAATAAATAAACATATATTGAAGTGTACATATTAACTGCCTGGTTGTTTTTAATTTAATATTTTAAATACAGCCAAATGTTGTTTCTAGAGCTGCAACATTAATGTTTACAACAGCAAAGTAACTCAATAACTTTATCTGAAATCACAAGTAGTGAGTGACGTTTAGAAAAAATACCAGCAGTCTGTATCAGTCCCTCCTCCTCTTTCGCTGGCTGCAGGTAACGTTACCAGGTAGAAGGAGGAGCGGCTGGTTTGTCTCAGCCAGCAGCTGAGTTTTTGAGACTACAGACCAGTCTATGCTCCAGACAGACGGCTTTCTATTTAGCTCGTTTTTAACATTTGGCTAATGCCAAGCTAACATTAGCTGTGCTTGTATAAAACAAACAGGTTGAGA